AGGTCCTGGAAATGTTACCAAGAGTAGTTTGGGAAGGGAGGTGAACTTTTTTGAGAATTTACTGAAATGGAGAAGAGAGTGGGCAGTGACGGGGGAGGAATGTGGATCAAGGAATATTAAGATGAAATAGATTTGAAAATGCTTACTTTTTATGGAAAGAAATCAGGAGGATGGATAAGTAGAAGCTACAAAAGTGTCAGGATATTAAAAAATGGGATCCAGAAACTTGAGGTTTGGATGCATCTTCCATTGGAGCAGGAGAGAAAGGGGAGTATCCTTGCAAGGAACAGTGAGGATTGTAGGTTTGGTGGCCAGCAGTGGAAAGAATTCCTATCTGATCACTTCTCTTTGTTCTGTGAAGAAGGAGACAGTCATCTACAGAGAATGAGAGGGGGTGGTGGGTGGGTCAGAGGCTTAAGGGGAGTGGAGAAGTTTTGAAATAGTTGTTGAAAACGGGAAACAGCTGACTAGGGAAACTAAGATAGCCTGGCAGCGTTAAGGGCTTAAATGAGATTGATGAGGATTAACGTATAAACTTGATAATCTGTGTGGTTCTGTATATTTTCTCCTGTGGGGCTCAGCAGCCCATGCACAGAACATACTGTACATACTATTCACTCGTCACTCTCACTTATTCATTTGTTCACTAATTTGTTGAACTACTCTGTGCCAGGTACTATTGTAGGCAGTTTCATTTGATAACTTAATGTTTTATGTTTCTATCTTATTACTATAAGCAAACTGTAATATACTAAAAGGATTACAGTGAAACCACCAGATTGTTGAATTTTAAGGATTTAAAATTTATAGATGATACAAAAAGCAAATACAAGGAATAGTACTGCAGTAAAAGGAAAATGCCAATTAATCTTGTATGTTTTGAGTCTTCTCTCCCTAGTTGCACTGTTGAGATCTTAACTATGAGTTTGTTGCAATCGCCCTATATGCTTACCCTAAAATGTCTTCTCTCCCTAATTGCACTGTTGAGATCTTAACTATGAGTTTGTTGCAATCGCCCTATATGCTTACCCTAAAATAATTGATACATGACAATCTGCAGAGCTGTTTTACAAAATTTCCATTTTATGAAATAAAGCATGCAATTAAAAAAAATTAATCTAATTGCCCTGTTAATACTCTTACAGCTTTTAGGGTTATTTAGACCCTAATTAAGCAGAGACTGAATTTACTGGACATGTATTGGGTACGCTGCAGAATCAAGGGGCTGCCCTAAGACCAAGTCCTTAAAAGCCAAGAATAGGAGCAACTTCATGAGACTGTGTAACAGATCATCACACATCTTGCAAGCTGACACTAAAATGAACTTGTGTCAACCATTCTGAGTTCTGGGGTTCAGAGTCCCAGGATAGAGATGTATGGCTCAGCGTGGGAAGTGGAGAGCATGGTCCCTTGTCTGACATTCCCACCAAACTATATCCAATTGGGAAGAGATTATTCTCCAGATGTATATTGGAGTGCAATGACCAAAACAGCAAAAATTGACCAGTGAAAAATGATAAGGTGACTTCCTAGTGCCCCTGGTGAGAATTAACCACTTCCTCTCTTATACATGCAGTGCTCTTTATTCCTTTTAGCTCTTCATTTGCCTCACACACTCTGACTGAATCAGTGTTGTTTACGTACCTCTGCATTTCCTCCAGTAGCTCCTGAGCCCCTAAAGGCAGTGACTGCAGTAGCACTATCCTCTGAAGAACAATGTCATGGAGGAGATCGCCCAATGTGGCTTTTTCAAAATTAGTTTTGAAATATTCTTAGGAGTGAACATAAGAAAAGTAAATAACTTTTTCTCTATTTCACTACAATCAAAATTTTTTCTAAATGGCTTTTACCTTCCTAATTTGAAAAATACACAAAGTGAATATGGGAAGACATAAATCCTTAGTTGCTTTCCTATCTTTTCTAAATCTATAAAATGCCCACAGAACATCTCTTATTTTAGTAGAAAAGCTTTTAGGTTAAAATAAGAAAGGATATAGTACTCAGATTAGTAAAATCTGATTTTCTTTAGGGCTGAGTTCAGCTAAATCTCTTTAACAATTCATCTGACTTGCTACCTACCTAGTATAACTTTTGAATAAGACTAAAAGTAAAATACTCAGTCTACTGGAAAACAACTCTTCTAATAACTGGCTAAGAAGAAATTGCTCTTAGACTGTTCTGACTTGTATCTGGGAAGAGAATTCTAGAAAAATCATTGTAGAAAATGCATTTGTAAATTTATTAAAATTTCTTTTATGAACATAAAATGCAACAGATTAATTCCACAATTAGACAAGAAATAAGACTCAATAAATACTGTAAAAATGAGTATACATACAATGGAATATTATTCAGTCACAAAAAAGGCACAAAATATTGATGCATGCTACAATATGGATGGAACCTGAAAACATCATGCTAAGTGAAAGATGCCAGACACAAAAGGCCATAAATTGTATAATTCCACTTACATGAAATGTCCATAATAGGCAAATCAACAGAAAGTAGATTAGTGGTTGCCAGGGGCTAGAAGAAGGGAAATATTAAGACTCACTGCTAATGACTACAGGTTTCTTTTGGGGATGATGAAAATGTTCTGTAATCAGACAGTAGTGATGATTACACAACTTTGTGGGCATGTTAAAAACCACTGAACTGTATACTTTGAAGGGGTAAATTTTATGTTACGTGAATTCTATCTCAATAAAAAATAATTTTAAAAAGGGAGGGAAAAGGCTTACTGAGAGGTTTGGCATGAAAAGAAACTGTTCTAAGGGCCTAAGAAAGGCATAGAATTTGGTATTTATTTCCCAGCAAAGACAAAGGATAGAAGAAAAAAGCATAGAAAAGAATACTCAACAATTACATCCTTGAAAGCCTAAACATTTAAAAAAAAAAAAAGTTTTAATTACATTGCTCATTCCATGATATAATTCAATTTTGCCTTTTGGAAAAGAACATGCTCATTTTTTTTCAGGTACTAAAAAACATTGCCTGCAGCCTTTCTTTGGCTCTTCTTTTAGCCTACAAATTGTGCAACAATCTCAGCTGCAAATTAAGCAATTTTATTATGCTGCAGCTCTTAAACTCACTTGAGCTTTGTAAGAATTTATTTATTTGGAATAAAATCATACAGTTTTCAGACCATGCCAGGAAATCATATCCTAACCACTGCACCAATGAAACTCAGACTTCCCTGGATTTTCTTTTCCTCATTCTCTGAATTTTAATCTGTGTGTTTTTAGTCTTTGAGTTAACTGAGAAGCCTTTTCGTTCTGTGAACTAAGCACATTCCTTCAAAACCACAGGCATCCACTTCTCATTGGATTTATAACAATCACAACATTGGCATGCAGGTAATAAAGAACTCAATTTGCTTTTCCCATCACACCTCTGGTTACCTCAGGGAACCCCACTTCAATGGAGAAAAAGTAAAGATAATTTCTGCCATCCTAACCATGTCCACAATATTCTGTAGTGATTTAACATTTCCTCTACACATCCTACAGCTCTCCCCTTAAATCATATTAGTGTTTTGCCTTCCAGAAGAAGGTGGAGTTTCAAAGTAAAGCAGTTCCAGCAGATACCAGACCAGAGGAACCACCTTTCTTCAGAATGATCCCCTCAGGATATTCTTTTCTGCAGCCTAATGAGCTTAGGGATTAAACTATTTTAGAGGAAGGGATGGTATGAGAGCATTCTAAACTCTGAGAAGATTAGGACTTTATCTTTTGTTCAACACACTACATGGATCACTAAGCACTTAATAAATATTTAACAAAACTGAATCTGTACTATGTAAAGAAAAGAGCTAGAAAAGTCTTCAAAATTTGCTTTGTTTTATTCTATCAATACAATGCCATACATAAGTGGGTGGATGGATTATGGCTCAGTGTGAAAGAGTAAAGAGTAAAAATATTAAGAATAAAAAAGGCTAAAGACCTCATATGGATGGTGAGAAAGGGAAAAACCCTTTGTTCTGCGTTGTTTCTCTTCTTAGCTGGTTGCTGGGCAGACTGTTCTGCAAGAGATGATATAATAACTGCATAGAAGAAAATGAAGTGTAGTCTTTGCAACTAAATGTCAATTTAGGCTCAAACGCAATAAAAGAGCACAGCCTCTCACTCCAATGGTCATACTATTAGTAATTTTTCTTATGATAACAAACATAATTTACAGTATAATCGTAAAAAGGAATTCATCTTATAAAAAGTTGCTTGGGTTTAGAATGGCAACAACCTGAGTAAAAGCCAAGTTTTACAATTCATAGAATTCATCTTATAAAAAGTTGCTTGGGGGCCGGCCCGGTGGCGCACTGGATAGTGCGCCGCTTGGGAAGCGCGGCAGCGCTCAACAACCTGAGTAAAAGCCAAGTTTTACAATTCATAAATGTAGTCATCTGTATTCCCGATGTTCCTTTTTATTTTAAGTCCATTAATGAAATAAATTACTTTTCCTGTTTCTGCATTATAGTATGTAGAATCTTATGGACTCATGGCTATCAGACATATTTAAGTCATTTAAGTTCCTGGGCAGAGAGGAGCTATAAAAACATAAAAAGCTATTAATATTTAGTGATCAAATTGTTAAATATATATATTTTAATACCATAACGTATATCATTGTTTTCTTGTCTCCATAGTATATAACGTTTTGCAAAGCTGAAAAACAATGGGCTTATTCTGCTTTTATAATTAAAACATTATTTCCAAAGTTGATAATGCTCACTGAACTAGCCACATTAATGGTGGAGTTGGGCTTGTTTTGTTCTAAGGAAAGTATTTAAGTTTGAACATAACAGACATGGTGGTTTTAAAAGTGAACATATTTAAGTTAAAGGCAATAAAGTATGATAACCTTTCCACCAAAATATTTTTTATAGTTTGTGGAAAAAAGGAAAATACATGAGAGAGTAACCTATGATAATGGAAATTCTGAAAGAGTAAGCTCAGGAGGGATTTAATCAAACACACATTTTTAAAAACAAGTACAGAGAAGAGTAAATTATAGCAGGACTTTAATATAGCAGCTGACAGAACTTCCTCATCATAAGGGCTATGAAAACTACAAAGAAGTATTATGTATTTTCTCTTGGAGATTAAAAACAACAGATAACCACAGCTCTGTTCTGAGATGAGATGTTACTCTTCTGGCTTTGAGACATGAAGGATATGACACTTAAGTCTAAACCTGCATCAGTCAATCTTGAAAAATCAGAATACTCATAATCCAAAACGTTTTAATAAAAATTTAGATAGTTACAGATGTAAAGGTACATTACTCAGAGTCAAGAAGCCTGGGTCAAACTGGATTGTAGAACAGTGACTGCATCTGCAGAAAATTCATATATAAGCTACAAAAAATATCAAATGTGCCATAAAACACATAAGGCAGGGGAGTCCATAAAGATGTGAATGTTTGAATAAGGAAAGGAGGAGGCTCATTTAATGTCCTGTAGTAAAAGGTGAGCTCCAGATTCTAAAAGAAGGTAGGGAGCCTGCTCCCAACTCACTCTGGCCCCATAAGGTGAAGAAGGCAGAACATCACAGAAGAAATAATGATGTACAGAAAAAGGAGGCCAGGAGATTCTGATACAAAAAAAACTCCAAACCCAGAAAACCAGTGTTGGTTTTCTTGTTTTGATCAGGGTAAAAACAGTGGACAAAGAGGTAGAAGAAAGGCTGCTCTGAGGGTACACAGGGCTATTATTCAGTCTTGGCTGGGGTCAGCCCTGTTTATCTTCCATCAGACGTGGACAAGTAAGAAGCCTCACTGAGCCATTTTCATCATATAAGCTGGGCAGGCATGTTGCTTTTAAACCCGATGACATATGCTACTATTTCATGTACTATATAAAGTTTCCTTTTGTTTGTGAGGTTATTAACATGAGAACTTCATTGATCAAGTTGTCACTATCATTAAAAATTATTTCTGATTATAGTTTGCTAATCTATGATAACATAGTTATTTTACAATTGCAGAACATGTACCTATAGGAAAAGGGTGGCTCGGACACCTGCAGGGGACAATGGGTGGCAATTTCAAGTGTGCTTTTCTCCCACTGGCCTCTGTTCCCTGCTAGGCTCTCTATCCTCTCTAAAGAGAAAGAAACATGATGTCACTCTGACTTGAAAACCTCTAATTCTTTGGAAGCAAAGTGTTGACAGGGCCTAGAGTGCAGCTTAAAGTTTTACGGTTCTAAAGGCCTTCTGGGGTTGTTCCATGGGGATAAGACTCTCAGAACAAGGCCCTGAATACATAGTTAAGACTAAACCCTCATTTCTACCCTTCCATATGAATTTTCTCCCTAAGACTGCCACTGTGTCTCTTCACTCTCTCAGGCTGACCTGACAAATGAGCCTCTGAGTTTTCTATGCCAGTAGTACCTTTGGTTACCTACTAAAAAACAAAACAAAAATCAAGTTTGTAAGGAAAAGGAGATATTTGCTTGTAATGTAATAAACATGGCCTTCCTGTCCCCCCTTGAATAAAATTATAAAGTTTATTCAAATAAAATTATAAGAAGTGACTGTAATTCACATCTGGATAATCAAGAATTGATTGTATTCCTCCTGCATCCATTGTCTATAAATGTAAATGACAGCATGACTCTTAGATGCTTTGGGTATATGGGAAAAATCAGTCCTTGATAAAATGCAATATGATCACACAAGTTGAGTACTATTTAAGCCAATTAGTCATGACAACTCAAACTTAAGCAATATGGTAAATACTTATCATGTTCACATACAAAGAAAAATGTATACACCACTTATAACAATATAGCATTTTTTAAAAAAAAATCATACTTTCAATTATTCTGTGGCTATTAATGTGGGATGCTTTTAAAACTCAAAAATATTGAACTACCTAGAAATATTCTGAATAGCAATAGTATTATGTTGTAAATTTTATTTTCAAATTTTGATCTATAAGAAAGAAGAAGACAATAAAGTTAAGCAGCCAAAAGAAATACCAAAAACAGAATAGTAATTCATATATACAGAAGATATGAACAGTACAGATGCTTCTCTAGTTGACTCAGTTATATTTAGACATTTAAAATACAAATACATTTTAATCTGTCAAGAAGCTGACCACATGTAGCACCAGGAAAGGAATTTTACTTTAGCTTCTGATCATGGCCTCAATATCTTGGAACAGGAAAAGAAATTGCATGGAATCTAGATGTATTTATCACCATCAATTAATACAAAATTAATTTTGAAAAGTAACTGCTGTATATCATAAATTCACAAATGGCTCAAAAGGGATTAAAACCTTAAAACTGGTATTACTTGATATTGCGCACAACTCTCCTACAATGGTTTGTTTTCATCTCCTCCAACGCTTGTTCCAGTTGCTGAACCAAATGGAGCAGAGTGGCTGGGTCTGTCTGCAGAACTTTGGTGTTGTGATCTCCATTCTGGTTAAGGTGTAGCTTTATAGTCACTGCTGGTTTAATTTGTTGCCTAAGACTTCTGCTTGCAAGCTTGATTTTAAATGGAATAAGAGCACAATAATTATTCAATAACCATGCTGAACACATAGTATTTATAATTATCTTACACCATACATAAAAATCAAATTTCAGGGCCGGCCCGGTGGCGCACTGCTACAGTGCGCCGCTTGGGAGCGCGGTGGCGCTCCCGCCGAGGGTTCGGATCCCACATGCAGACCGGTTCCCGCTCACTGGCTGAGCGAGGTATGGGAGCAACACCGAGGGTTGCGATCCCGTTGCCGGTCCCAGTCCGGTACGGGCGCGACACTGAAGGTTGCGATCCGTTGCCGGACACGAAAAAAGACAAAAAGGAAAAAAAAAAAAAATCAAATTTCAGATGAATCACAGACTTCAAAATGAAAAGTAAACTTTAAAACCTTTGGAAAGAAA